CTAGTAGTGCAACTGCTGGGTCATAGGGTAGTTCTATTTTTAGTTTTTTTGAGGAACCTCCATACCGTTTTCCAGAGTGGCTGAACCAGCTTGCATTCCCATCTTTTTCTTTTTTAAATTGAGGTATAGCTGACATGTAACATCCTGTTAGTGTCAGGTATACAAATAACGATTCAATATTTGTATACATTATGAAATGATCACCACAGTAAGTCTAGTTACCATGCATCACCACATAGTCGTAATTTTTTTTCTTATGATGAGACCTTTTAAGATCTATTCTCTTAGTAACTTTCAAACAGAGAATACAGTATTAACTAGCCACCATACTGTGCATTACATCTGATGATGACATGTTATAACTAGAAGTTTATATCTTTGGGCTTCCCTTTACCCATTTCACCCATCCCCAGTCCCCAACCTCCACCTCTGGTAAACACCAGTCTGTTATCTGTATCTATGAGCTTGGTGGCTTCTGTCGTTAAGATTCAACATATAAGTGAGATCGCGTCATATTTGTCCTTCTCAGTCCGACTTGTTTCGATTAATGTAATGCCCTTAAGGTCTATCCATATTGTACAAATGGCAAGATTTCATACTTTTTATGGCTGAATAATATTCCACTGTGTATATACATTATTTTCTTTATCCATTCATTCACTGACACTTAGGTTGTTTCCATGTCTTGGCTGTTGTAAATAATGCTGCAGTGAACATGGAGGTACAGATATCTTTTCAAGTTGCTATTTTCTTTCTTTTCTTTCAGATAAATACCCAAATGTGGAACTGCAACATCATATGGTAGTTCTATTTTTGATTTTTTTAGGAACCTCTACACTGTTTTCCACAGTGGCCGCACCAATCTACATTCCCACCAGCACCACATGAGGGTTACCTTTTCTCCACATCCTCACCAATATTAGTTATCTCATCTTTTTGATAATAGTCATTCTGACAGGTGTGAGGTGATACTTCATTGTGGTTTTGTTTGCATTTCTCTGATGATGAGTGATGCTGAGCATCTTATCATGTTCCTGTTGACCATCTCTATGTCTTCTTTGGAAAAAAAAAATCTCTATTTAGATTCTCTGCCCATTTTTCAATCACATTGTTTTATTTTGTTTTGTTGCTATTGAGACATAGGAGTTCTTTACATATTTTGGATATTAACTCATAAGATAAATGATTTGCAAATATTTTCTCCCATTCAGTGGCTTGCCTTTTCATTTTGTTGGAAAGTTCCAATTTCTTAACCCTATATTATGCAGAACGGCTTCATATTTCTCAAAAGTCTTGGCCTCAGCCAACACTCAAGCCACAGGGCTTACTTCTATGCTAAATAATTATCAAAGCATTTTTCTAAATAAAGGCAGTTATTTTGGTAAGAGAAATGCCAGTAGCAGCTGTTAAAGGGAAATATAAATTTCTTTATCTCATCATAGGCATCAGCAACATCAGCAATATTCTAAGTATCTTCTATGTAATGGAAATTATCTGTGAAACATAATTATGCGTGAGAAACACATGCAGTATTCCCAAATTTATTTCAGCATTTCAACATCCAAGGTAAAATAATTGCAGGACGCTATGTTAAACTTGTTTTAAAAAAAGTTTATTTGTTACAAAATGTTAAATACTAAAACTAAAAACATATAAATCCAGGTCAGGCTATATTAAAATACACACATACCCTTCTTAGCAAAATTATTAAAGATTGAATTAAACAGATGCTTTAAATAAAATAAAGTACTCTTGAGGAAAATTTTTTTCTAATTAACTATGTCAGTGTAGTGTAGTTTTTAAAATTACAATTGAAAAGTTCAGCTGTGTTAGAAGTTAAATTTATCCAATTCTTCAGTTTTCTGTTACTGTCCAATATGAAGCCACCATGCTGGCTTGGACAGGGTGAATTTCAGTTATGTTACTGAAACGTCTATTTTACAAGCCTACTCTCTTATAATATGAACAGAGAGTGGTCAGAAGTATACAAAGGGTTATATAAGGTGAAAACTTGGCCCATAAAGAAAAGGCCTTAGTTCTACCACACAGTATCTTCTCTAATTAAAATGATTGGTAAATATACTGAAGCAGAGATGTGCACAAAGCATACATTCATCTAGAAATAATCTTTCAATTTAAAAAAAATTCAAAAAGAGCACTCATTTCTCCAAGATAGTTGATAAATATTTTTAAATTTCCTGTTATTTTAAATTGAGTTAATTCAAAGGTATTGAAGAGTCTAGGTTTAAAAACTAATTTGATTACTGTTCTGACTAGTTCTGAAGAGCCATGACATCAGTGTGTCTGAGTCACTCACACAGGTGGTAAAGCACTTTCATAATAAAAACTACATGCTCAACACTAACAGAGCACCAGCTTCCAAACCTAACTTCCACTCAGGTCAAACAACCTAAAATAGTATCTATGGTCTAGGTAAATGTTAGATTTACAAGTATTTTCAAGAAATACTTTCTTTTGCTTTAGAACTTAATATTTTTTCAATTTCCTAGATTAAAAGTTACTGATTTAGAACATTAAGTGCTGTAATTCACACAGGGTAAGACTACGCTTAGGAAGAACATAAGACTATTGTGTTTTAAAAGACCTTAAATATGATGAATTTCTAGAAATCTACTGTAGTATTTATTCTTTACAATGCTTATCCTTGTCAAGTGGGATTTGCCAATAGTTGATGAACCCAAGTGATTAACATACAAAAAACATAAAATGCATTCCAGTAACCTTCATCAATACAATCTAATTAAAAATATATATAGGGCATTTTTACTCTCTTACTCTAACAGTGCTGATATACATCCAAGGACTAACTATATAGTACTTTGTCTAATACTATGGTATAAAACCATTTAATTAAACCTTTGAATAGCTGGAAAAATTAGGTGTCCTCGAAAGTCCTTAGAAATTAAAAGAAAATTATATCCCAATACTGAATTACAAATGAAAATGATGTTAACAATAAATAGTAATCTGATCTTCCATCGCTCTGCTTGTGAGCTTCTAATGTAATTATTTCTGTTGACATTTGATACAAGAGACACTATAATTCTATCCTAGTACCATTTTCTCTACATGTAATGAGTCTCTGATTTATATCCTTTCTTTTAACTTACTGGGTTATCTTGAAGGTCAAAATTCATGCTACTCCTCATTAAATAACCTTGCGGTCCTCAGAATTCAAACAATTCAAGCTGCTGACATCCTAAGCTTAGTAAGTTACTAAACAAAAAACTCTTGAGCCTTTGCTTACAAATTCTCCAGAAAGCATCTCTTCCTATGAACATCTTTATCAATGATGCATTAAAGTCACACTGGTCAGTCACTTTTATTAACATCCTAGTCTCACAATAATCAAGAAAGCATTTGTTCACCTGTTATGGAACCAGAGCTGTGAGTGTTCTAATGCTGAGACAACACAAGACACATCTCCCTTGCCTGAGGAGGTGGCAGCAGAGGCAGGAGAGACTTCCCCAAGGATGGGAAACCCCATGTGATTTCTTCCTTCCAGCATGCCTCCTTCTCTTCCCTTGATGTCAATGACTCTTTTTTGCTTTCAGAGAAAATGATGTTTGAGCGATGAAATACAGTACATATCCTGCCAGGAGATACACATAATTTGGGGGCCCCAGTACAAAGTGAAAATGCAGGGCCTTTCTTTAAATATTATGAAGAATATCAAGGTGGCAATGGCAGAGCATTGAACCAAGCATGGGCCCCTGTGTTAACACACGTTACATGGCCTTAAAGCCAGCTCTGTTTAGATCTCCTGCCCAGTCAGAATCCAGAGAAGAGACAAGGTGGCACAGTTGGGTTGTCCACATAAAAAAATAAT